CGAGTCGTAGGGGTCGTACAGATATCATGCAATGCGTGATCAAAATTGGACTCCTGTCTAGAATCTGTGGTGCGTGAATTCTACAACCGAAAATGGCCTAGATTGCGAGACATATGGTAATGAGACTCTCATAGCTTATGGGAAACTTCCTGTAGGGCTTAATGCCATTTATTGACCTAGTTTATTATGATTTGAGAAGTTTGTGGTAAGGTGTTTTCACGAGTTGGGAAGGGTTACTCTCTTCCTACACCACAAAAGACTGTTGTATTCTTTTAGGATACACTTGTGATGTTCATACATATAGACATTTGAACGTTGTGTGACGGACGTACATACACACCGATACTAGTGTGATTGACGTACATACACACGGAGATTTGGACTTTGTGTGACGGACGAAGGTGCATCACCTGCAACGTGTGGGTAAACGCTCTGTATATTACATTGTAATACGGTGCATAATGTTGTTAATGTTACAATTCTGCAGATGAGTTTTTCTTGACCATTGATTTCAGATGTATTTGTAATGATCTTATTAATGTACATTATAGATTTTCGTAGCCAATTCGATTATGGTTCGTACTCGGACTTCCATGTCAGATGCGTCAGATCAGTGTATTAATATTAACAGAATCTGTAGCCGCTTGAAAAAAAATTGGAGGCTTACAAAAGTTGAAGGCTCAAACTCCGTATACACATCACATACGGATGGAAGCGCGTGTTCTATCTATTTGTTGTTCGTCGCCTTTTCTATTTGATATTATAGCGAAAAAGACGATAATACTGAACGAGTGATTCGTTGTTTTTATTCTTCCGTTAACAAAAGTGATAGATAACCTCTTAATTTTCTAATAATATATATCCTTTATTCATAAAAACAATTACATTTATACGAAAACATTTATTGTAAAAAGAAGTTTTCCCCTATCTTACAAGCCGAGTATGTTGAAATTGAATGAAAACAAACGGTTCCGCGTTTTGAAAAATCGAATTTAATATAATATTTATATTATACTTATAAGTGAATTTTCATATACAAATCTTCGAGCTTTAGTAATTGACGAATTAATTTGGATAGCTGCTGAAGTTTACAATGTCCTATCGTCAATTTCTTCAGGCTGGACGACATGATGGATATTCCATAAACATCAATTGAAGCGTGGAAATCCAACTTACATTTGTTTAATGACGAAATCCGTAGTACAGTTGTACAAATATCACGAACTTTATTTCTTTATCCTCAATTTGATTGATATCAATACTCAATATACTTGCAAGCAAATCAGTATCAGCGAAGAGGTCAGCGAAACATGGCAAATAGCGCGACTTATCTATTGCTTTCAGTCAAATAAATGACCCTGTAATAAACAAATAACTTACCGATCGCATTCCAACAAATTCTACCAAATTGAATAACGAGATGAAGACATCTATTTGATCTCTTGCTAACGCTCCGTTTTTGTTCGATAATATTAACACCACCGCTCTATTTCGAATGCTCTGAAAATACCTAAACGTTAGTTGTTCAGGAAACTAGTATATGGGACAATATAAATGACTTAAGGGTTTCCCTCTCAAAGGCACTCATTTTAGAAAAAGTTTTCAGCTACACATAGTGCATTATAGAGTGAAATATCTTCTACAAAATAAGGCTATTTTTTTTTGGCTGTTAATAAACTGTTTTTCAAGCTTTTCTTACTGATAATATTTGTGTACAATAGTGCTCAAATTCTTGTTTTGAAACTTTGGATAAATCAACATTTCAATGAAGGCGTTCATCATCAATAATACGATTCAATCGTGAGTTAACGTTATAGGCTAAGCATACTTCGCGGCAGATAAACACTGAACTTCTTCCTGGAATAGCAGCGTGTTCATATTTTGTTTTACGATGAATTTATAATAACTTAGATTTTTCTGTTATTTTATTTTGAATATTCTAATAAAAGACAGCAAAACTCAACTAAAATACTATTATCCAGTTTTTGTTTCATTGCTAACTTCTAACTCTTTTTCAAGTTTAAGTACGAACGCCAACAGCTCTTCATCACTAATGTAAAATGGATCAACACTTGAACCTGGAACAAAACCTTTGTCATCTTTCTTTGTAGTTGCTGATTCCATCTGAATTTCGTTTACTTCACTACCATTTGTTTTGGATTCATCAATACGCAGTTTCTTCAAAGAACTGCGGTCATCGAAACCGTCCTCAAGTGACCCCTTAAACGTTGACTTGTTTTGTGTCGCCTGGAAAAGTTAAACGTAGAAACCTAAAACCTACTTCCCTAGACAAGAATTTTTTGCTAAAACTGATAGGATTCAGCTGCCCCCTCATACCAGTTTCTTAACTTGACTGAAACAACTATTGTCTAAAACAAGTAGGCTATACTGAAAAGAAGAGTGTGAGTTGTTTTTTGAATATTTCAGAAGTGAAAACAGATAGAGAGAAGAATCGCCTCTACCAAATGCTGAAAAGCCCGACTCTCAGTCTCTTTCCGTTCTTTAGATATTCAAAAAACAAACGAGACTCTTCTGTTCAACCGATGGTTTCTACAATAGTTATTTGATGATAACGATAGGTTTACGATTAATCGATTCATCAACGTTGTACTTACGATATAGCACAAAACAATAAAAATACATAGAAACTATTTAAGCAGCAAGCGAGGATTATGAAACTTTACTACGATATCACTTTCATTTCGACTTACAACAAGGAACTATAATACTTCAATTTTTCCTTTATTTTCATTCTTTTGAACCATAGTTCTGTATGCGACAACGTTAATGCACTATTCATTTAATATGCTAGTCAGGGATACCAGATCGCCTGATTCTGGTAGAAATTTTCTCATTTCTTTGAACTTTTTCTGCCCCGTTTCTACTCTTTTCTCTTCTGAGGTGTTCTGTTTTCCTGATTTTGATTTTCTTTCTTTTTGAGCTGATTTCGAACTTTTTTTTCTAATTTTCATGGTTTAGATCTGATAGCCCTGATGCTAGTATAAAAATGTAAGAAAAGCCCGTATGTATTATGTACATATCCCACGAACATAGGAAACAAACAAATAAAATCATTTAAAAAGGCTTCATCGTTATTGTCCTATTGTTATAGCCAAGGGTAAAAGAAAACTTATTATCACCCAAGTCATCTAGATTATTGGATTTGTACTTGATTGCAACTATTTTATAACGACCGGAGAAATTCAGTATTCGGGCAATTGTTATATTTCTCTTGGTTGCAACTATCAATTTATCGCCTGATAATCGATCGATTTAACTATTGCTAGTTACACATGCAAACGCATCTAGCTAAAAGTCCCTTTTCCAACTAGTAATCTAGATAACAACTAGTCGTGTATCGTCCGATTACAGATGAAATGTATCTAGATTTTTCCCATAGGTGGTGTTTGCTTGGGTAAAAAAAGTCTGAGCAACAAGAGTTAGTCAAAACTTTTCATATCACTATATACTGAACTAGTTTATAGAAACAAAAGTTTCATCGAACATTTAATTAATTCACATGAACAACACTTAAAACTATTTAATTAAATGGAATGAATAAACTATTTGTACTAACTTCTACAAAACATATCACATAAAAAGAAAGACAACGAAGAAACAAATTGAAAACACAAATATCAAAAGGTCCACTCTGTTGATATAAACAAAAGTACGATAAACGCGATATTACAAATAAAAGTTTAATAAAATTTTCTCTAACTTTTCTTCATGTGCCACTACCAGACATTATCATCGTTATTATCATTTTCTAGTAACAATCATGATGTTTGATTTTGACTTGGTTGAGTCTGTAATAGAATAAAGACCAAACACTAGACGATGAATGTTTTCTTTCTATCAACTAGAAGAAGTAAGCTCATGTATCTTCTTTTCTCGATCTTTTCTTAGTCAACTTACATTTTCTATATTAACATCAGTAGTTGTTGTTTTTTTCTTTGACTTTTTACGGGATTCAGTGAATTTTCGACTATTACGACATAATGTTCCTATTTGTTTATTGACTTTTGAACGTTTTAGAACAATATTATGATTTTCTTGAACAAAACTTACATATTCAAAGTGAAGAACAGACAAATTTAACTGTACTTGCCACATGTTATCCAGTTCTCTCTTCGATGTACAAGTCCTCTGCAGATGCCCACAGTCAGAAAGTATGAACCAACTTCAGTTAGTTTAATAGTAGGATTATGAGTGAAAAACATTGGGCTTTGACGTTTTCCAGAAAATTTCTATAAAACCAATGCTCAGCTGAAATTCCCCTTTTTCGTCCTGATTATGATTTATGAGCTGTCCTGAGCGTTCACTAGAACTTTCCTTGAGGCAGCATGAGATTTGACCGAGATATAAGGATTTTAATTTTTGCTAGTAATAGGCGAAAAACCAGTTTTCACAAAAATCCCTATGTTATCATAACTGTTATCTTAAAAATAACTCTGTTAGCATCGAAGTTATCGTAACTTCGGCAGAGGTATTTTAAGTAGAATTTGTTTTTGTGTAGAAATGAAGTTCATTTCTACACAAAAGCAAATGCTACGCCTATGCTCGGCGTAGTCGATTACCTATATTCCATGGCATTTCGAGATTCCTAGAGATGTCTGCCCGAAAATAGACACGCGCTCGTGGAAAGCGAGCCTTGTCCGAACGAGGATAGCTGGAGAACTGGGACTTGCATAATTTTGTAGAGTAATGTCCGCACTATCTACCCGTGCAAGAAAATTACTAACATTGTATGTTAGTTTTCTGAGAACGAAGCTAGTTTTCCGGTGATCCTCTGGAAAGTCGGACTTCCAAAATATTTTGAAACGAGTTTCTGCTTATAAAAACATGTCTTAAGATCTTAGCAACATGATGGTGTAAGTCACAGGTCTCTGTCTCATTCCTATCGAAAGTTATTCAGAAATTACCGAATCCATTCTATTTTGATACAGACAGTAGCTTAAGCCTCTTTTCCAGATTACACCATTTTAGGTATATTCCTTTCATCGCTCTATTATATGTACAAGTTGAAGGAAAAAACCACTAGAATTATCATAAATTTCTTTCGATACATCTAAATGTTTTCCGTTTAATTTAACACATATCACAGTTGCTAAATCAATATCATGAAATAATTTTCTAATTAAATTACGAGTTGTATCTGCCCATGTTGATCCACTTGATTGTGCTAATTCTTGTGAACTAATGGAATTTTTGGAAACATCTAAAAAAAATAAAGAAAAGCATTTAAGAAATAAATTTTCTAGTCAATTGAACAGCTGCTGGCATCATTAGCAATAGATCTATTACGATCAACAACAGATTCTTCCACTAACAGTAGACAAACAGTAGATGTATTACCAACAACAACAACAGGCGTGTACAGGCAGCTATTGTTTGGCAATTTCATTGTTTAAGTAGAAATATGTCATACTTACTTTTGATGTTGTTAATGATTCAATTAAATTTTTATTTGTTTTTGCTTTCGTAATATTAGTTTCAAAATATTCAATAAGTGATTGTGATGGTGATGCCAAAAAATACGAGTGAAGTACATCTATAGAACTATTTTCACAATGAGGCATTAATCTATAAAAAATCACGGACAAATACTAAGAACTTACGTGTATATGTCGTTCGAATACATCTAATTTTTTCATCCTTGGCTGCCAATCGTGCTCTTAATTCTCGTTTTTCTAAGATAGGATGGGTTCTGACAACATATTTCTATAAAAAAATTAAAACCAAGATTTTACATTTACTGTTTTTAGCGTAGACAATAACGTAATAACTAGAAATAAATCTAGACGATGAAATTTTCGAAGGTGATATAACTAAAAACGGCCACCAATTTGTACATTACTTTCTCTCGTTGTTTTTCTACTTTTATAAAGACCACTAACCGTACTTATAGCACTACTTCTACTGGTAATTGAATCTAAATAGAAAAAATATGCAAATACACTGAATCATCTTTTCAAGCAATTATGCAACTTTTTTTTTCTGATTTTCATGGTTTAGATCTGATAGCCCTGATGCCAGTATAAAGATGTAAGAAAAGTCCGTATGTATTATGTACATATCCCACGAACACAGGAAACAAACAAATAAAATCATTTAAAAAAGCTTCATCGTTATTGTGCTATTGTTATAGTCAAGCGTAAAAGAAAACTTATTATCACCCAAGTCATCGCAAAAACAATAGGTCAAATCTGCACTTTTTAATTTATAGTGTATAAATATTACAAAAAATACTCATATTCTTAGTCAAGTATTTTTAAAATAATGTAAAACAAAAAAAGAAAATTCAAAAAAGCCAAAATACAGTAAAACAAAAAACTAATTCTCTTCAATAAATTATTAGTAGCAAGCAAGTAAAGTTTGTTTAAATTAAGACATAAAACAAGACTTCAACAATCTTAATATGCACAATTGTTTAAATAAACATTTCATCAAATATGGACTTGCTTTAACCCATTGTTCTTTAATAGTGTGTGGTATGACCAAAAAGTTGGTATTTAAAACTGCCAACATATACACTAACAGCGACGACATTTCCGGAAGTGCTTCGCCGGTAGATAAAATTAGTCAGGTAAAACAGAAAGGTAAATGTTCTGTCCGGGAGTGTAAATTCATCCGCTTAAATTGAGTTTCACGACGCCAAAAACATGTGAGAAGAGCTGCGTCATGGAAAGGAGTAATGATAATGACGAATTTTTAGAGAATATGCTCTGTGTTGAAAAGCTTTTTTTTAATGTAAACTGAGTTTCAGCAAAAGAGCACCGTTATATCCAGCGGCGGCAAACATAAACAAATAATTATTGTTTCAAGAGTAAAACGCCTAAATTAGCCCTGGGCCAGCAGCGCCATTATCCACAAATCATCCTCCCTACATGCGAGTCTTACACCATTCAATGTAACCTCATCATTCGTCGAACAGATAGTTTGTCGACACGTCAAATCTAATACTGTTTGATAGGGAATGTCAGAAAGTCTACATGTAGAAAAAATTTAATTTCTCTCGCATGAATTCTAACGATAAATTGTAAACATTTTTGCATAGAAATAGTTCTGAGCACTCTGAAAAAAAACTAAGCCAAAGTAAAGAGCACATTTCAACACCCTTAAGCACCAAAAATAGTGAAAGAAGTAGTACACTACTACTATAAATATCATTTTAGAATTTAACTAAATTGAATTTTGATGTTCTTTCCAAGCTTTTGCCAACTTCCTGTTATTATCTTCAGCAAATTAATCTTCAAAATTGAATTTAGTTAAATTCTAAAATGATATTTATAGCAATATTGTACTGCTTCTTTTACTATTCAACTAAAACTGCTCTTCCTAAAGCGTCCTTAAGCACGAAATTTAATTAAATTGGTCAAGTTTGACTAGCTCAACTTTGTCATATTTTCTCTCAAACGATAAAATATTTCCCAAAACCGATACATACTTCTTTAATCCCTTGATGATCTATAAGCCGAGCAATCGCCAATATATCGTCATAAAGGCGTTGATAACGGTACATATCGCGATAAAATCTATCAGACGGTTCTGAGAGTTCACGATGGAAGTTATTAGTGCGTTATCTCTATGGTTTATCACGATGCAAAACCGTTTCGTTCGGCCACCGTAAATATGTTTAACTGGAAGCTTTTTACCATGATAAGGAGCAGGAGTAAACACGTTTTTGCTGATAGTCAGATTTTTTTTTGTTAATTTGCCGAATTTTACATCTCTAACGATCTTATTAACAAGTAACGTCATTACAGGTGTAAAATTATGTCAACTAACGCAATCATACAAAAACGTGTCAAGGAGGAAATTTTTAAGTAAGAAAATACTTTCTTTCTTTTGTTTTTGAGTTAACAAGATCTTTCTAGTAATTTTAATTCTACCAACAAATTCAAAAGAATCTTTCATATATGAATCAGCCTCTAATATTGCCGGTAAGAATAAGTTAGCCAAATATTTAGCCGTGTTGGGATCACTTGTAAGACCTTGTTAACTCGAAAACAAATAAAAGAAAGTGCTTTCTTACTTGATAATTTCCTTCTTGACACGTTTTTGCATGATATCAACATAGAATAATCAATTTATTGCATATAGTACATTGAATAGTATTTAGTTTGCAATCCTTTGTATGTTGAATAACTCGTTTATATTTGGACTAGGCATGTCATTTTACTTTTCCTTATTTGTTACTTTTCCGGAAAAGTAACACATTTTTTGTTACTGCTGTACCGCTTACTTTTCAGGGGTGACAAAGAAAACTACTTATTACTCTTAACAAGAAATAGTCAAACATTTCTTGTTACAGGTAACAAGTAAAAACTTTTATTACTTCGTTACTTTAACCAAAGGAGCTGGGAGATGTCTCATTTTGATCAGAAATTTCCGAGCTACAATTCTGTCTCATTAAGAAGGTTTTTGATTATTATTTAGAGTTTCTGAAAAACTGGTTTTCCAGAAAAGTGTGTTAATTACCTTAGAGGTAACAAGGTAACAAGATAGTTAGTAGTAACAACTAACTTTTATACATTTTTTTTACTACCATCGGAGGTAAACTACAAGAACGGTAGTTATTTTTTTAGTAACTCAGCATCAAATATAGATAGAGACTTGCGGTTTTCACTATTCCATAGACAAAACTTGTGAGTCGCTGTCCACATACAAAACGGATTTTCGGCAAAATTTTCGCAGCCGGTTTTTCAGAGAATCTTTGAGAAACTAGCTTGGTTTTTCCAAGATTCAAATAGGAATCTATTGATCTATGGGGGTATATATAGTGTGAAGTGTTCTCTACAAAACTGGATCCAAGCGACACCTTGGAAATTCATGATTCTAGAGCTATGGACGTTTTTCCTAAAGCCTTAGCATTCATTCCCCTGCCGTTAGATTTGTGACTGTCAGAAATAAATTAACAGATAGGTTATCGACTATGCTGAATCTCGTGGTAATGTTAGTTTTCAGAACAAAATGCAAAAACCGAGTGTAAACCTATACTAAGTGAAATAATCCATTTTCGATCATTTTCATCATAAATTAAAAAATTCATAACTCAGTCAGTATCCCTCAAACTAACTTCAGAATGTCAGGAAATACAATCTTTTATCCGCTAATACTGATTCTGTACGTAAAATCAATAAAAAGATATTCTTTCAGTTCCGAAGGTTTCCGTGACAAGGAGCAGGAATAAACACTATTTTCACGGGATTGCTGATAGTCAGACTTTTTGTGTTAATTTGCGTAATTTTGCATCTCTAATGATCTTACTTATAAACAAGTAACGTCATTACAGGTATAAAATTATGTCAACTAACGCAATCATGCAAAAACGTGTCAAGAAGGAAATTTTCAAGTAAGAAAATTCTTTCTTTTCTTTTTGAGTTAAGAAGGTCTTACAACTAATTTTAATTGTACCAACAAATTCAAATTCTGAAGATTTCTCGGAAACTTTTCTAGAAGCCAAAGTATTTTCGGTTTCTGTTTCTTCAACATTTATGAAGTTTATGAAAATCAACAGAAAATCCACAAAACGGATTTATGAAGATCCATTTTGTATGTGGACAGCTACTCACAAGTTTTGTCTATGGAACAGTAGAAACCGCAAGTCTCTATCTTTATTTGATGCTTAGTTATTAAAAAAATAACCACTGTTCTTGTATTTTGGCTTCTATATTAGTGAACGAAACAGTGACACCCCTAATTTTGAGCAGCTTCCTGGATTAGTATAATTTATCTTATTTCCTAGCCAATGAAGACTTTCAGAATACATTCTGGTCGGTCGGCCACCATTCCTATATTCTGCGACTATTTCTGTATTCTGCTGTAATACAATATTCTAATTTATAATAATTTTATACAGATTCATATGAAAAAAGTCGTTGACCTTAAGATCTTAACATGTGCTTACATGTCAGCAGAAACTTGTTTCAAAATTTTCTAAAAGTCCGATTTTCCAGAGAATCTTTGAAAAACCAGCTCCATTTTCTGAAAACTTCTTGTTTCTTATTACGCAGCATTGACTCTTTCTCCGCGTATTATTCGAATGAAAAAATATCTATATCAAATTAGAAAACCTTCGTCTTTAAAAGGAGGTATGCACAAAACAGAAAAGTATTGTCTAAATGTTATATTGTGTAACAGAATGTGTAAGAAGAAAAAATATATTTCTGGTTCCAGTGAGGCAGAACCTATAAAAGTGATACAAAATTTTGAATACGTTGAATAATAACTGAGAGCATACAGGAATTTTACTCACATATCTTAACGCTCTCTTTAAATTGCTGTGTACTTATTTTGAGATGAATCTCTGGTGAAATGAATTGCATCATGTCCCTGGGGAGAAATCCGAGTGAAATTAGTGTTCTCTACACTTTTGGATGAACTTGCTTATAGTTCTTCTGTTTTGATCTTTATACTTTTAAAGAACTGCAGCAATTAAGTTACTGACTTTATTGCACGATGTTTTACCCGGTTTTTTCTTCGGGAACATAATGCAAAAAGGCAATAATTCACACTAGATTTGAGGCTCAATTATTATTTGACGAGTTGGCGACAGAGCAAAGCTTTTCATTTTTCAGCCATGATTTCCACTAAATAACTTTTTATTTCTATATATAGATTTTTGTATTGAATAGATTGATTACATTATGTTCTCGAAGAAAAGTCCGATCAGAACACGGTGTAACTAGGACTGAAAAAAAAGGATTCTAAACAACTGATTCTTGCTCCAGCGTTTACTTATGCGCCAATTCATGCGTTTTAATGCATCGGAATTTAAAGAAAATTAACTAATAAATCATTATCTTTTGTTATAGGCGCCGTTCCTACGGGTACTCGCGCGTTTATTAAAAGATAATCATCATGTGTTTATTTAACAGAGAAAGATATCAACTGAATGATGAGTTGGAAAAGCGCTTTTTTGGGCTCATTCTCCGCGCTGGAGGTTGCTGACTTCAATTTTAATATTTGCAGCTCAAGAAATAGTCTGATTTCACTAAAGTTTGCTATATATGATACGCTACGTATTACGGCCTGCAACCAATCTCGCCAATTAGCGTTGCTGTGGGGCCCATAAGAATGAATTTTACTAAAAGAGTCGAAAAAGCTCAAACAAAGATATCCGCCAAACTTTTGTGAATGCTGTTTCACATTATTTGTAGTTTAAAACTATATATAACATCTATAAAACCATGCGTTTCAACTGCGACTTTTTTCATAATTATACAGAAACTTCGTTTTCTGTTCGAATTGATTTGATTATTTCTTCTAAGAAATTTTACCGCTACGTTAAAGATTATTGTTTTATCAATCTATCAAAAACAAGTTCTGCTACGAGTACATTTGTTGCGCGATTTGAACAATAGATATTGTGAGAGTGAGGGTGAACGTGAAGGTGCTACAGTTTATTCTACTCTGATACTATTTAATCTTTCCTATAAGAGGAATTTTTCTGTTTTCTGTTGAAAGAAGAAAATAAGAAAAGAACAAATTTTATATTTTCATCAAATGTTTAGCTTTTATATATTCAACAACGAGAGTGCTCACGCAAATTTTCGATACATTTAACGCGATAAGTGCTTGTTTTATCGAAGCCATCACGAGTTTTTGCAGTTACGACGATAGGTAATTTCAAACATGACCTATGGAAAAAATGTGGCAGGCGATGCAGGACTATTTGCCATCTAGATTACTATTTGGAAAGGGAACTTTTAACTAGACAAGTCTGCATGTGCAACTAGCAATAGTTAAATCGATCGATTATCGGGCGATAAATCGATAGTTGCAACTAGAAGAAATTTAGCAATCGCCCGATTACTAGATTTCCACTGTGGTTACCCAATAGTTGCAATCGACTAGAAATCCAGATGAGTCGGGCGATACTAGATATTTTTTGACGCGAAGGTATTTATCGATAAACAATGTTTATCGTGGGAATGAGCTCCTTTATCGAAATAAAGTAATTATCACCGAAACTGCAAAAACTCTGTGATGGCCTCGATAAAACAAGCACTTACCGCGATAAAGGTATCGAAAATATCCTCATAGGATATAGGATCTTACATTATCTTATAACAAGATCTTGTAAAGTCTCACAAGACGTGGGTCTTTTGTTTTCTACTCATTTTCAGATGGATTATCACGTGTTCTATTTCATATTAACTATTATTCCTAATCTGTTATCGTCGGAAATGTTTGACTCTCACATTGAATTAACTAATCCGGGGATTGAATTTCAACCAGCTAATGAAATTGAGTTGTTGAGCACAGATATAAACGTGAAATCGCTCATGATCTGCGCAAGTTGGTGTAATCAAAATCCTCAATGCCGCACATTCGACTATCAAAGTTCATCTCCGTTACGATGTCGATTATTCGAAGGCGGGTCGTCCACAGGCACACAAGTTAATTCATCATCGCCAACTTCTCGACTAGGTGCCATCAGCTATTATCCTGAGCTGTATTCAGCGTACAATCAGTCGTGTAACCGATGTCAACAAAGTCGGTATCTTCTGTGTGTTAATGACAGATGTCAGTGCCCACCCAACACATTTTGGAACAGTTCGATGTGTTCAAATCAACATTACAGTGGGTTAACGTGCCAAGCAGACGACTGGTGTAGACAAGATTTAAACTTAACGTGCTTTCTACCCACCAACACATGTGTCGGCGAGGGTATGTCCTAATTCTCTTTCTAATCTGACGGATGTTATTTAAGAGTAGGAGTTTATCAAAACACACACGTAGGTGGATACAACAACCGAACTTCAAGGGATGAAAAAGACTGCTAATGAGAGAAGAAAGTTCATAAAAAACTTGTTGAAGGTCTGTTGCTTGATGGTAACTGTTTTCTTTTAAAATGGGGTATAAAATACGATCGACAGACAAAACTTATAAAACGGCGGAAACTGTCTTTTTCAGAAACCAGCACAATTGCGTTGGAAATCACAAGTATGCAAACAAGTAACGCTGCTGAAATTATAACCACTGCGTCGACCGATCAAACGATCATAGTGTCATCAATAGTGCAAGACACAACAACAAATATTTTAGCCGCAGCAACTAGTACAGGTACAACGGAATTGGCAGCCACAACAACAAATATTTTAGCCGCAGCAACTAGTACAGGTACAACGGAATTGGCAGCCACAACAACAAATATTTTAGCCGCAGCAACTAGTACAGGTGGCACGGGTGTGGCAGCCCCAGCCACGAATT